CTGCTCCCTTTAGATGTTAGCTGAAGTGCTGGAGACCTGGACTGTCATTTCCACATCCTTGCCTGTGCCCACATTATTTCTCTCTTCTTGAAATGCTCCCTTATCCCCCAGCTCTGACTATCAAAATGCAAACCATGTAAGATCAAAGTTTAAGTCTCTCTTGCTGTATATGGAAGTCATCTCTCCCTCCCTTGTGCTCCAAAGCTTTGCTGGTATTCTTAGGGCACAGCTTACTGTATAATGATAGCAATCACTAAAATAAGTCATAATAATAGCAGCTAATATGTACTGAATGTTACCATGTACCAGGCACTTTAAATGTGCCATTGTTCTCATCCCTTACCATACCTTCTGAGCTTATCTTTTATTATCCTGTTTTACAGATGAAGATCTAATGTTCAGAGAGATACAAGTAGTGAAACAGGGATCCAACATGATGTGATGCCAGATGTGTGACCATAAAGTTTGAGCCTTTGTGCCTGAGAACCTTAGTTAAACAACCAGGGTGATATTGTATAAAGACCAGCTGGGGAAAAATCCTAACTCGCAGGAAGACACGAGAGCCCATACTCCTAGGACTACAGAGCTGTATATGCCCCCACTTCCTAATGAATGGTAAGTTCCTTCAGAAAGGGGATTGTGTTGGGCCCTCCCTAGTGGCGCAGCAGCGCAGGTTAAAGTGCATCATTTTGAAGCTAGCCACAGACTTCCAGCACAGCCCCCACCAGGCAGGTGACCCACATGGTGCGGCAGACCTCTCCTGACCTGTCTGCTGCTCCCCTCAGCAGTGTATTTTGCCAGTCGGCCTGTTCTGCTCCCCCCTCTATCTTTGGTGAATCTTCTCTCCACCCCTGCACCTCTGGCCTGTACCCCAGTTCTGTATGCATGAGTAAATTTTTTTTTTTTGAAAGAAAGGGGAATGTGTTTTTGTATTGTGTCCCCCACAAGCAGTGCCTCGTACAATGCTCTATATATGCCAAATTGCTTGACAATGTCTTCCTAACTGAATACTGCACTAACACAGAGCAGTTTTTGTATCAGCACCTCTGCTGAGGGGTATTTCCTACTCTTCTAATCCACCTGTCTGACTCCAAAGGAAATGAGATGGACCCATCAGCTCCCAAAGATGCCTCAGCATCACGCCATCCCAGCCCCTCTGTTCATTAAGCCGTAACACTCAAGTGGCTTTTATCTTCTCCCTAAGCTGCCATTGTAATTGATCAGAAACAATTCTTCCCTCATGCTATTTTTAAGGCTCTCAGCTTGGTTTCCCTGTGCCAACCGCCACCCCTAGTAGCCTAAGGAAAAGCCAAAGGGGGTCAGAGTCTGTCAAGAGGATGACTTGGCAATCTGGGAATTGGGAAGACAGGCTGATTCTCCTTTTGTCTTATTTCCTTCCCCTGCTTTCCCTTTTAGACTTTCTCAACCAGATTTCTTTCCAACCAAATTACACAATATAGGTTGATGCTGTTCTTGGGTATTTTGAACTTCTTCCTGATCACAGTGATGATCTCCAGGCTGGTCTTAAAAGCCTTGGAGTAGGTTAAGTTGTCTTCAGTTTCTTCCCCCAGCAGGTTCAATAGTCCTCTTCTAGCTATTCGCTCTTCTCCCTCTTGGGAACTAGGATTTGCTTATTTCTATAAGGTCTTACTTCCATCTGGGTTTCAAGAATTGAGAAAGTACTAGCCAAGGAGAAGGGAGTAGCTCATAGTATGATTACTGTTTCCTCTGATTATAGCTCTTAACCCAATTCCCACTACTAATATAATGTGGAAAATGAGAAGGTCTTCCAGTCTCCAATAATAAAGAGTAATGTTGGGCCCTCCCTGGTGGCGCAGCGGGTTAAAGCACTGCACTGAGAAGCTAAAGCCACTTCCGCATGAGTTCGATTCCCGCCTGCCCCGGAGGAGACCACATGGTGTGGCAGACCTCTCCTGACCCGCCCGCTGCTCCCCTCAGCAGTGTACTTCGTAGATCTGCCTGTTCTGCTCCCCACTCTGTCTCTGGTGAATCCTCTCACCCTCCGCATCTCTGGCCTGTACCCCAGTTCTATATGAATAAATAAATAAATCTAAAAAATAAATAAAATAAAATAATAAAGAGTAATGTTAAAGGGAACAGCAGTGAAGCTGGCATTTGGGGCAAGGTTAGTCATTGTGGCTGGCTCTATGTGTCTTAACTTCATAAATGATGCCGCCATAGTGTTGATGTGATGTAGACTTCCTGCATTTCCTTTCATTGAAAGTTATTAGCTTTGATCATGCGCTTAGATATGCCAGCAAAATACCCAGGGGGTATGTGGTATGTGTATGTGTGTGGTGTATGTGCATGTGAGAGAGAGAGCGAGAGAGCGTGTGCAAGCATGTATGTGCACATGCACACCAATCTACAAAGAGCTGGATGGGGCCACACTGAATGGTGATGTAGCAACTAGCACTCAAGTTTTACCTAATGTCATTTGTCTTGACAGCCTTGCATTTTCAAAATTAATAAAAAGCATAAGGAAGCTGCTACACAACCACCAATCAAAGAATCTTGGCCACCAAGTTAAATATCTAGTCATCTGTGTTGTACATTAAGTGTGAAGGCACACATCACAGCTTGGGATTTAAATGGGAAAAATCAATACTCCACAGGAAATCTACAGTGGAATAGCAGATTTTTCTATCAGCCAATGCTTTCATTGTCAGTACCTTCTGATTATACCCTCGTGGGTATTCCAAGCATCGATTTAACTTTGCTTTTGTTTAGGTTACTTAATATTCTTCCCTCTTCCAAGAAGCAGAAGCTGAAGGTGTGGGGGAGGGCACATAAAATCAACAGTCAATAATGAAGTTGGAGAAAACGTCCAGTCTTCCTGGCCAGCACCTATGTCCAGAGCACAAGCCTGCCAGCCATAGACTCCTGTTCAGCGGGAGCCTAGAAGTAACCTATGCCTTTGATGCTTTTTCCTAAAATCCATCGATCCCCAACAGTGCTCCCCCACTTCCTACACCTACCACGGCTCTTGCTGCAGAGACCCATACAGGATGGCAAAACAACCTTTAACCTCAGAGCACTTTACGGAAGAGGATGCAATCTTTTCTTGCCAAGCGATTAAAAATGTACTCTTTAGCAGCCCTAAGAAAACTCCAAGGACTTCCTGTTTCTCTCTTAAGAATGAAGAAATCTTTTTCATATAGAAGCGTAATATCTCAGGACTTTATAACCAGCCAGACACCATCGCTTCTCTTACAGCTGAAAAAATTAAATTTCTCCCTGGGGAAATAAGCTTGTTTTTTCTCTTTATTCTCCTTTTTCTTTCATCACAAGGAAGAATGCTGACCAAAATAAAGCATTTCCAACAGTAACTAGAAGGACAAAGATTGCACCCGTCTTTCAAAACTCCTGCCAACACAATATTGTGTTTAAAGCACAGCAATGACTACACATATATTTTCTCTAAAGATAGTTGGAAAGATGTCCACATATATGTTTTACTTCTCCAATATAAGCTGCTCACAACCAGGACTCAAGCATGCTTGCTTTTTTCTAATAAATAGCTGGAGGAGAGGGTGGGGGCTAGGGAGTCAAATATGGCACATTACTTTTACATGGCAAACTACTCCCAAAACCATTTGAAGCTGCCACTGTCTTCTGCTGGATAACCACAGTAATGGAGCAAAGCATTAAAACTGAAATGCATGAAAGGGCTTCCTTAAAACAGTAATGCTAGCAAGACTGAAGTTTAAGAGCTCTGAGATAAAATATAAGGCAAGTTAAGTTTTCAGGGGAAAAAATACACGTATAAGCAGCGAGTGTGTGTGCAGACTGACTGGAGAAGGGACCCATGCAGAATGAGTAGCACTGCTGTGACCCTTCAGTCTGGGGAGGGGGACTGTGGCTAGGATGGGCATGCACTCTATTTTTCTCTCCTCTCCTGCTCTTTGGACACTTTGTTTTTAATGAACAGTTGGTATCAGAGCTAAGTCCAAAGTCTGGGACATGTGGGATTTCCTAATGCAGAGACCTGGCAGGGCTGTGCTGCACTCCGCCAAAAACGGAACAGAAATGAGACTACCTCAGAATGTGACAACTGAGCATCCTCATTCTCTTTCAGTGTTTTCATTTAGTTGGAGCAAATGTTTTGCTTTAATGCAATTGAAAAGAAAAGAACATTTAGGGACAACATAGCTAGATCCCTCATAAAGCTTCATTTTCAAAAGCAGTGTTTGAATCTCTAAATAAATGACAATTCATTCTCTGTTTACTTTAGGTAAACAGAAAGCGCATTGCGGAGCACTCATTTTCAAAAGCTAATCAAGAACATTAGGTCCCAACAGATTCATTTAATAGAAATAGAATAGGCATTCCTGCTTGCTTTTCATCTTGTCTCACTGCAAATGCTTTAAAATGAACAGCAAATTAACCCTGCGTTGGAACAGAGTCCCGTCACAGCTGATATCTGCTCTCTCACGACTGGTAAACATCACGCATCCTGTCCCTGCTTTGGCTTCTACAGAGAGACGAGAGTGCCTGATTGAGTTTGGCAAGAGAGTGTAGGAATACTTGAATTCTAAAGGGAGTACTGCGTGTCAGCTCTGCTATCTTTCCTAGCAGCACAAAATATTACTATGCTGTCCCCTAAAATAGTGTACCATTAGGAAGTGGGAGGAGGGGTGGGGTGTGATTTTTTTTTTCCCAAGCTACATATATCAATTGTCTTTCTCTGTATTTTTAACTTTACTAGCCATTCTCCAAGTGGCTGCTTATAAACTACTATATAAAAACAAGCTAATAAAGACAGGGCCATTCAAGCTCTATAATCAGATATAAAAGATTTGCAAACAACTTGAGATCTTATAATTAATATTCAGTGATATCAGAATTAGCATTTAGAACTCTATACAGAAAAACTATAATACTTCATAAATTATGTAATAATGAACAAACCCTTGCAAAAACTGTTTTCACTGTGCTAAAGTAACATTCTAGACTTGTTGTAAGTATGTCATTCTTACAAGTAGTTCGCAGTTATTCTTGAAGGCAAGCCTTGAAGTTTCCTTAGCATAGTGCTGCTGGGGAAAATTTTCAGCATGTCCATCTTCATCTCTAGCCTGAAGGGAAATATAATGGCCTATTTAGGGACTTACAAATAATGGAAGAAAAGAAAGCTAAAAGCATAACAGCTCAGATCATTAAACAAACGGGAATCCAGAAATAACAACATTATTAAGAAGTTTGTTTAAATACGCAGTACGCCTTTTAGATATCAAAATTTGGGATTTATTCTTCTTTACATAGTTTAGCTTGAACATGCAAATTCACTGTGGTGGAATATTTAAAACATTAGGAAGCAAACCAAAATCAAATAATTTTGTTGGAAATGACCACCACTTTTAGTCTTGCAGTGACTTTCATTGTACATTTAAGATTAGATGACATACATACGTGTTTAAACTTTTTGGCATGCTTAAGCAATCTCTAGATAATGCACTTAAAAAAAATTCTAATAGCAAGGCCATAAGAAAAGCAGTTTGCATAGTTATATTTTGCATTATAATACTATTAGAGATAAACTGATTCCCCTTGATTTTTAAATAAAGATCCGAAAGGAGCAATGATCTAGTAAGAACAATGATTCTTCAATCAAATGCAGTTAAAAAAAATAGATTTAATTAAGAAGCTGCATTAAAAGTTACTGGTTATTTTGATCTACACTGTTAATGAAGAAAGCTGAAGTTTAAATGGAGACATTAACAGAACCCATTAGCAATACTGCTGGCATACAGTCTTCATTCTAATCTCCACTGGTTTCGGGTGTGGAGTTGGAGAGAAGGGAGAGGTAGGTGAAAGGAGGCGTGTCTGCAGCACACTCATTAAACCATTCATTTGGGTGACACTTGCACTCCGCTCTGCTCTCTCTCATCTCAGCCCTAACTGCTCTCTCTTTCCTGGCCCCCTGAAATTCACAGCTGAGCTGTCTCCCTCACATATGGCTTGCATATAATTATGCATATTCCATTTTGCACTGCATTAAAATGATGAGCTCCTGGCTTCTTGCCAGCTGATTTTAAAAAGCCCAAGTGAAAGTAGGAAAAGGAGAGAAACACAGGGAGAGCCGCACAGGAAGCAGCAGGTAGTTCTGTCTGCTGTCTCTTTAGATAAAATGTATGTCTGGCACCGAGGGAGCAGCTGAGAACTACCTGTTGTGATGTTATGGATTGAGGGACAGAAAACAATGAGCAGACGTCTGTGGATAGTGATGACAGGCTGATGTATAGTTTCTCCTTTAATGGAGTGAAATCTGCCCGCTGACAAGTATCACTCAGCTCCTCCACTAGACAGGGAATTGTCATTTTAGAGAGAGGTCCAGACTTTGTACATTTTAGAATGTATAGGTTTTGTTTTGTTTTTTTGTTTGTTTGTTTGGTTGGTTGGTTTTTTTTCCCAATTAGCCTTCCACTACTTATTGCAGGGAAGAATCTGGCTGGAGTTTAGAAGTGGAATATCATGGACAGTAATGTTTGGGTTACAAGAAGCTTGTAGGGGAAAAGATTCCTTTATTTTGGCTTCATTTTGAGATTTAAGAACATTTCTGGGATCTTTTAAATTTTATCTTTTTTCTTAGAAAATGAGAGTGAAATAAAAATACACTTGTAGGACAGACTACATGTGACAGAGGGGAACAAGCATGTTGTTCATGTGCAACAAGTGTCAAGGCACAGAGGCCAGTCTTCCTCTCACTGCATCAGTTCTTCTCGGCAACATCATCAGGGCTTAAGTTAATAGAGGCTTCAATGGAGTCGTGTGGAAGTGCAGAGTATAAATAAAAGGCAGCGTGAGAAAGCAGTGAGATGCCAGATGGGCAGCAACAATGTAGATTCTTCATGACTGAATTTAAACCATTCTGGGAGCACAGGTCCCTTGAAGCCAGAGCCCCATCTATTTCCTCTTTCTTATTCTGCCAGGCCCACTGCCTTACTTTCAGCTGGTACTTAGCAAACATTTAAGTGATGGGGAAAAAACCCAGAGATGGATAGTAACTAGATCCTACCATAAACAACTCTGTAGAAAATGCCACTTTGAAATATGCTAAATGTGGTGGTAGGTTTATTATATTCCTGATGCACTATGATACATATGCTTGGAAACACACTTTGCATATAGTTTACAAGGGCTACTATTTACATATGTATGCCTACATTCAATATATATGTATCTTGTGTATAAATATTCATAAGGTAGATTGTGTTTATTATGCATGTACTATGTATACACATTCATACACACCAGATGCCCAGGGATATTTTCAACATTAGTGGCAAAAACACATTCATTCCACTTACATGTAAGGTGCTCACAATGCTTTTTTATGTTTTTAAAGGACAAAAAAAAATCCCATTATCTATGACTTGAATGTGCTGCCTCAAAGACTACAGATTTCATATAAAGCCTCATAATTTAAGAAGCTCCATAAAGCAGCAGTGGAACAGAAAAGCGAGGAGGACAGCTGACTTGAAGTACAGAAAGAAGGCCAGAAACTTGCGTCTTCACTGAATCTTACATTTGCCTCTGCATCAAACTCCCAGGGTTCTGGCAATGCTCTGCCTCGGACAATTAGCCTGATTCCAGAGTTCAGGTCCATCCTCCAGCCATTTGCTGCATTTCCATCACATGCCACAGAGACAGCAGTGCCCAATGTGTAAAGAGACCTGGTGTCACCGCCTTCACGTGTGAGCACACAGCACTCAATCACACACCTCTCATGGAAATTCCCTTTGCATTCTGAAAGTTTTCTATGTAAAAATTCAAGTTGTGATTGTCAGACCAAGTGAAATTAAGTGCATTCATCCAAGATAGTACTTCTCTACTCTGCGGCATATTTGAATCATCTGGGTTGTTTAGTAACTCCTTCTTGCCCCAGCCTCCATGATTCTGAGTTCACTAATCCAGGTTGAGACCTGGGCGTGGGTGGGTTTTGGTTTTTTTAAGTGCCCAGTGATTGCAATGTACAAGCAGGGCTGAGAGCCCCTGACCCAAAGAGGGTCCCTAAGGGTATCAGGAAGGGACTCCTGATGGAGCAACACCAGGAGTGGACACATGTGGCCCTCACACTGTGCCTTGCTCTGAAGACCTGAATGATTCCAGGCCTCCATTCTTATGGGCAAAATATATATCTACATATGTCTGTTTACTTTTAGTTTCTGGAATGACAAATCTTGGAAGAACTACTATGCTACTTCTTCAAAAAGACTTTTGTTTAAAAAAAAAAAAAAGCCTTAAGAACCTCTGTAGTCCAATCAAACATCTCCATCCAGTCTGTCCTCTCTTCAGGTTACCACAGCTGCCACCTTGCAACGGTTGGTGTGGTTTTGTCTCTGCCTCGACACCACATGCTTCCTAAGCCAGGGTGGTGTCTGGCTTCTCCACTGCAGCCTCATCTTCCTGCACAGTAAATGCACTGCAGGACCACTGTGCTCCACTATCACGCCACAGCAACTTGTGGCGACGTTAGATGAAAGCCGCAGAAACTTCCACACCCTCTATGTACAATCACTTTAGGATATTTTATAACAACATATATTGAAGCCAGTGCCTTCTCCATCTGCCCTCATTTCAGATGCAGACAATGGTGTGTAGAGGGGGCAGGACAGTGGGAGCTGATGACCCGTGCAGGGAGGGCTGTGCGAAACCTGAAGCTGTTCAAAATCTCGGGTCATGGTTGTAACACGAAGCAGACTAGCACGCGGCTTGTTTCATTACTGGTCTCAAGTTCTCAGTGGAGAATGCTCTAAGTCCCTGCTTTGGGTTCCAGCTCACCAGCAGTGGCTCTTGGTATCCACCAAGTATGCCGACTTTGTTTGGGGGTGACAGTGCTGTAAGACATGCCAAGATGAACTCACTCCACACGCCTTATTCTCAACAGGGTTATTCTGATTGATGTGCTAGCGATATTTACCACTATGGGGGAAAGCAAATGGGAAGCATTTTTTTCACTTGACTATAAAGGTGACTGTCAGACCAAAGGTGTATATTTGAACTATCATATTCTAAGAAAACTTCACTTCTTGCCATAAAATAAAAATTAATATTAACCTCCTTCCACTAAACTGCCAGGGGATTCCCTTATTTTGCTGAGAGTCAAGCATCCGTGAGTATTTGCATAAATAGTAGGTCATGTGAGAGACTAATTGCCTCTCTACTTCAGAAGTTTCCGGCTTTCATAAACCTTGTATTCACCTGTCTTTCCTGATGAGTCATCACTAATTTGCTTCTTATTTGGATGCTTCTATATGGAAAACTTCAGTTCTCTTTCAAAGAACTCACTTCTTACTTTGGGTCAAAGCACATTCAAGCAAGATCAGTGAGTATGTCTACTCCGGGATTCCTTCAGAAAATGTGGAACATTCCAGAAACTGTCTAGCTAGCCAATCCCAGAAAAGGAACGTGTTTCCGACTTGGCAGAAAGATAGCATTGCTGCCATTGTTGCCATTTAAAGGGAAGTCAATTAGGCTTTGGAATTAATATCTCCCTGTGATAAAGGAGAGTTTCCACCTCTGTGTCACTGTAATTTCAAAATATCTTCTGAAAACAAGAAAAAGTTCTGCCTAGAGTCAGAGCTGGAGAGCAACCCCAAGCTTCCAGACTTAGCTCTCCAAGCGCAGCAGATGTAGCACATGTCAGCTCCCACATGTGGTGTCATTACCAGACTGGGGAACATCAAAAATAGTGCATCTCCAAGTTGTGGAAATAAGTTTAAAGATGAATAGCTGTAGAGAACCACATTTTCTATTTTATAATTAATTGTTTGACCCAGAGGTAAGAGCATTTCTTTTCAAAAGCAAAAGCATGGGACATCACCTTGAAAACTGAAATTTCATTTCCTGATACCCCACTTCTGGACATTTCTTCCTGTCTCAAGTGTGCACACACATTCTCCTGGGAAATCTCAGGGTCACAGAGGCCTTGCAGTGCATTGTGTACACCTTTGTGAACTTGACACAGGTCAGCCCAGTATCTTCACCCTTGGTGAAGCTCAGCCTGCTCAGGCCCTGGGCTGGAAGGCAGAGACAGGCCTCACAGTAGTCCCTGCTCCCACCGGAGTTACTGCTC